ATAAGTATTAAGTACTCATATTAATATAGAAACAAACTATTTATATTAATTGCTGCAGTTTATACACGAGAAGAAGAACTTAATGTGTATTTGCCACTGCCCATCTATCATAGTTTAATACTTTAATGTATGGTAAACTTTCACTTCCTTTTAGTCAGACCAGTTTAATTAGTTTAATGTAGCTACCAATCTCTCATTTCATCTTAATATATGTGGTTTTTTCTTTTTTGAAGTTTTGAGCAGGTAAATATTTATATTTGAATAAAGTCACAAATTCTACATATATTGTGACTTCACTATGATGGTAAATTCTACAAATATTGTGACTTAACAAATATTGTGACTTAAAGTTGTCATCACCAACTCGAATGCAGATTTCATAGTTTATACATTGCTCTAGTTTTTTTGACAAAATACTAAGTTATTTGGTTAAATAGCAATCTCACAGCACCTTGCTACCTTTTCTCTCTAACAATGTTACTTTAAGAGTTCAAGATATTTTAGCATAATGGAATTCAAGTGGTCTCTTCAATTTTTCTTTATGTACATCATAAAATGTGTGTTTGTTTGTTTGTTATAATTTGCAGCCTATATGACAGCCAATCATGGTGACGGAAGATAGTGAACCCGATATTCTCTAAAATGAAATTGGAGGAAAGTCAAGAGTACTCTTCAGAAAAAGAAATGAACGATTCACTTAAGCCTATATATGACTTATATATAAAAAGTATGTCATTCTCCCAACTGATATCATCTGATCTCCAAAATTTATACTGAACACCTTTTAATTCCTTGTTTTTCTTGTCAGAGATTTAGAAATAGTGATTTAATCTTTCAACTTATTGATAATTTGTAGCTCTTAGGACCTTAATTTCATATCTTTCATTTTCTTCAATTATCAGTTCACATTTTTACAGGTCATTTATATTAATAGGTTCTCCATACAAGCATAAATGACTATGCTTGAGGAGAAACAACCTCACTAAACCTTGTTCAGGTAAGTGACTTGTCTGTATAGCTTACACGTATGTGCCAATGCTTAACACAAATCCAACATTGTATTTTAAGGATGTTTTCTTGCTGATAGAAGTATTCTGAGTTTTTTAGTTTTTCTTTTTTCAGATTGATTTTTCTACAAATTGCAAATTTTGAGTATTATTTTTAGGAGTTCATTTTTTACAGATTATTTGGGTTTGTTGGCTTTTAATTTTATAGATGGCATTGGTTTTATAAAACTGAAAGTATATATCAGTTTTTTCGACAGTTGTGTTGGTTCGTTCGCTTTTGAGCATTGTTTTATCCTTAGAATTCATATTGTTGCATAAATGTATTAATCATGTTAGACGTTTCAGTATCCTTAGAAGTCTTTTAACAGCTTGAAGGATCTATACTATTACAATGGAAGTTGAATTGAATTCCTTTAACTAAACTTACAGCTCTTAGATGCTTATCAGGAATCTTCCAATAAGACGGAGGGAGCAGAGTACTTTCTTAAAGATGGAAAATTTATGCACAACAGAGAGTACCTTGGTGATTACAGGCAAAGAATGCATGAAATGGAATAGGGAGAAAGAACAAGCATAGTGGTTGTCATCTTTTTCACTGCACACAAGGTTTGGTTTGCTTTTATGAAAGAATTGAGGTATTTTTATACCATGTCAGGAGTATGACTGGTGATGAAGTCATGGCTTTATCCAAAGTAATGACTTTACTCTGTTTATGACTAACTACCTGACTAGTAATTTGTAATGCTCTCCAGTCTTTAGTTCTAAGTCAGCCAATTTTATTCTTCCGTGCCAATGCTCTGCTTGTGATTTTATTTATCCTCAATTTGCTGGCAACATGTAGACAGTCTTAACATAGGACAACATGTTTTTTCCACGAAAAGGGCGTGCTCTCTTTCCACAAAATCTTTGAGTGGGCTGTGGTTTTTTTATAACCAATTGATGTCTTTGTATCCAAAAAACTAACTAATGACTTTGCGGTACTTAAGGTGAGTGGGCTGTGGTTTCTTTATAAAGCTAATACTGCAGGAGAAGGCTTTCTTTCAGCTACACTGCTAAATGTTTGCTAACTGTTTTCAGGAAAAAGCAAAAAAGGTAAAGAAAATTGGAAAAACAAGCAAAAGAAATGCAAAGAAACTGCCATGTCAATGAGGCAGGTTCTCAAAACTTACATAGTAATAAAAGCACCCCTATTTTGTAATAGGGATTTATATGTTCTTTTGTCACATTTTTTATTGGAATAATTAAGATAGATATACTACTTGTGTTGGTGTGGCTTTAATTGACTATTGCTTTGGTTTTTTTTTTTTGAAACAAACTATTGCTTTGGTGTTAATGACTTTAAAAGTTGATTTATTTATGTTTATGTATTATATATTTTTAAAAGTTCAATTTGGCGTAATATATATATATATATATAATTGTTATTTTTAATCATTCCTCTATGGTATTAAATTTTAATCGTATTTTTCTTGATTTCAGACAGTTGTTCTTTGTAAAGAATCAAGGTGCGATTTCATGATACATTTCACTGAAAGACTCTTTTGCTTTCATTGCTATTTTCTAACTCTTTTGCATCTTGTTGCCTTATGGTTCCTTTGAGTTTTTATTGAGCAGTCAGGGAATCACATTAGTAACTCTGACTATAACAACTGAGCTTGGCTGAGGAACAGGTCCATCATCCATGTGTCTCTTGTCCAGTAATAGAAGAAGTCTGAGTGCAAACATAGTAATAGAATGATGGCTTCATTCAGTGCAGCAGAAGATATGATGTCTATGTATAACAAGAATGTGAAGGCCCTGTGAAGAATGGGGTAAAAGTTGGATTTGTTAGCGTTTTGTTCTTGTTTTGTACTTGTCGCTCCGGGATATGTCCCTATGAATTATGTAGAATGTACATTCACATTAATGTGAGACTTTGAGATATAAATAAAAATATTTGAACTTTCGGTTATTTATTAGTATTAAATTATGATTGTAATCAATGTATCATGTGTATGATTTCGTAGTATTAGTGTGTTATTGAATTTTGTGATACTGTAGTGTCATTGAATTTAGTGATACCGTAATGTCATTGAATTTAGTGATACCGTAGTGTCATTAAGTTTAGTGATATCAAAGTATCAGTGTTTTGTGATACTATAGTGTCATAATTTAGTGACACTTTTTTAGTGTCACTAAAACCTACTTTCATTGACACTTTTTTAATGTCACAGAAACTTTCAGTGACACTAATTTGGTGTCACTGTAGGCCATTTTTCTAGTAGTGGCTCTTATAAAGAACCGTGAGGTCCCAGTTACACTGAAATGAATGTTGTGTAAGGGCATATATATGTCATGATATTTGTGTAAATTGGATGAAAATACAATCGATTTATACTAAGTTGGGATAAATATAATTGATGTATGCAATAAATATTATTGTACATACACGATTGTATTATTTGGGTCCAAAAATCAATTAATTGTATACAAGAGTTAACATCGATCTCAATTAAATTTTGAGATCGTGACTCGATTTAACAAATGGTAACCCTATTACATATAATTGAAGCAATTGTGATGACCCATTGGTAAACTCATATCACTAATGTGACATGGTGTATGAGAAAATTACGGATAAAAAATACACAACCGAGTCTTCTATGTTAACCCATAGAAGACCTAGGTACAGTCACTTGGTGTAAAATGTATAAATGGTACCGTATAAAACTAATAGTGTGGACATATGATTTCATTCGAAATCGTATACTTGATTTCGAATGGGTTCCCAAGTATTAATCCCTCAAACCAATGTGTTTTATTACCATCCAATGTTTATTTAAACGATGGGATTAGTAATTTAAGCCTGTGTATACTTAAACACGATGGCTTAATTGTTGGCTCTATCCTTCCAAAACCTATGTGTTGATCGTATTTCTCCTAAGTTGACTTCGTTGACCATCTAGCCCCGATAATTGACCTGCAAAATAATCACTAAAAAGAACTAAAAATATATTAGAAGCTCGAGACGCGTCAGACGCTATCCTAAGGAATTATTTCCGGCTTATGAACACTACAAGAATTTTGACTAAATGTGACAAAAAAAAGTGTCACTTAAGCTTCAATTTTTGTCACTAAAACTTTTATATGACGACTTATGTTTGTCACAGTGTTCGTCACCGCAGCTCCGTGGCAAAAGATATATGTGACACTTTCTAAATTTGTCACCATACATCTAAGTTTTTACGACGATTTAGCACTTTGTCACCATTACTTATCAATTTTAGTGACAACATATGTGTCACTTTAACATCGATATTTTCGTCATCAAAGTTTAAATTTTGTCATCTTTGCTTAGCACATTTGATGACGACCTATTATATTGTCAATAAAATGTATCATATAGTGACAACTGACATCATTCTATGCAAAATAAATTAGTTATAGTGACAATGAAATTGTCATAATAAAGTCACATTAATCGTCATAGTTAAAGAAAATTGTCATCAATTATCGTTATTTTTATTACAAATTTTGTTTGTCACTTAAAAGGTATTTATGTTGACAATATATATAGTGTCATCTAAAATATAAATAATGACAAAAGTAAAGTTGTCAATAAAAGATTATATTTGGTGATGAAACTAATCGTCACTTTTATGCTTAAAAAGTGACAATTATATATTTGTGTCATCATTAAAAATTAATATCGTGACAAATCGATTGTCACAATTTATACTTTTGAGTGACAAATAAATTATTGTCAAAATAGATTAATTAATCCATGACAACAAAAGTAGTCATAAAATATTAAATAAAATGACTAAGGTGAATTTGTCATTATATGAGTACATAAAGTGACGCCTATTTATTGTGATTAAATCATATTTCTTCATTAATAATAATAGTATTTATGCGAAGATTTAAGTGTCACTATTCCAGTTTAAACCTTGACACTTATGAAATGAATAAAGCTCAGAGTTCTCCAACTGATATCAAACAATATAAAAGCATCCAAACATTTAGTAATAGAACTTCTGTAATTAAAAAAAATTATTCTTAATACCACTAACATCAAACTTCAGTGTCTTATGAGAATAAGACATAATATTCAAGATACGTGAACATCCAAATCATTCCAATACCTAATGTAAATATCAAATAATGAGAAAAAATAAATGAATATTTAAATAACCTAACTTAAGGCTTATAAAGGCATTCCTTGAACAGCCATAAACGCCATTATCTTTTCCATGTTTGAAGCTTGTGCAGCTAATTGATTTCTCAAACAAGCACTTCCTTTTCAGTATCTTCCACTTTAGCGTTAAGCCCGCCAACTTGTGATTCAGCCATTTCTAACTTTTGTTGGGACTCTTGAAGTTGTTTTTGAAGTTGTTGGGTGGCATATGAATTAGGACTATTGTTGCGTCTGCTAACAGGTTTAGGACCATATCCAAGGCCTTTGATGTAGCCAGCTCCATGACCAAGAACCTCAAGAACAATATCATCTGTACTCTTATCACATCCCTCTTCTTTATATTGTTCTTGTTTCTTTTTCATCAACTCCTAGTCAAACACATTGATGCAAGGTAGATTTAAATTTTTTCAAATAAAACAGGTTGGAATAAAAAAGAAAGATCAGATTAGTATATCTATATATATAATACCCAGTTCTCTTCTGCTACTTTAGATGACCAACCATTTTTCTCTGAGAAATGAGTTCGTTTATAGAGCTCAATCCTATCACAGGTATCTCCATCTAGCTCCTTTTGAGACTGAAAATGATTTGAATCAGAATGGATAACAAGGTACTGATTAACATAAAATGCTTTTCAAGACAGGAAACATTAAATGGTTTGGTACACTTGTTTCATTTTCCAGTAACAACGTAACTAGAATCTCAATAATACATCACCATTTAACAGCAGTAACCACAACACAGGTTTAATCATGAACAATAACCATAACACAAGTTTAATCTAACAAGTACGTGCATACTTTTTTATTCACGGGTCAAAAAGAAGAATTCAAATTTAATGAATCATTAGCCAATTTTACACTATTTTGACTAAAAATAAAACAGGAGTAATGTTCTGGCCACATTACCCATAATTATCCCAATTCTCATAAACAAAGATTTCTTCATAGGCAGAGACATGAACACTCAAACATCAAAAGTGGAGACTTTATGTCATTCTGTTTAGAATTTTTTTATATCTTCCTTGTAATCCAAGACCAGGGTTCAATTTTCTCAAAAACTTAATATTATCAAAAGTAATAGTTTTTTTATGTCATACATCTTTCATACATGCTTCCACTAGTTAAGAACTAATTCACACAGCTTTTGAAAAATCAATACCCTGTGATAGTATGGATCTAAGCAACATAAATACAACCTTATCACCAAATGATCATGATCAGATACTTTTTTCTTTTTTCTGTACATTAAACGAGTGAACTTTCAAAAGAAACAACAATCAATACATAATAAAACTCTTCATATAAATCAAAGATTTATTTGAATATAATTGTTTTATTTTGACTCACAATTTCTTGTCTTCAGACAGTGAAAGGCGACCTACCAGAAATATGTGGAGCTCACACAAGTTTCCTATATTTTGAGTTCGTAGCACTTGATTGCTACACACACAAACAGATTAAATTCAGTTATTTGAATATGAAAATATTACCTTCTACCTTGAATGTTTCAGGTTCCTTACCTTGAATTTGGGTGATGCAAAATAATCACACAATGATTCCCAATTTTCTTGGTTTAGGCAAAATGTGGGCTTATTACTTTTAGCCAATTCCATTGTTTGATACTTTTTGAAATGGTTATGTAGCTTGTGACGCTTTTGTCGAGAACTATTTTTCAACCTTTCAATCAAGCTTTCTTTAACACCCGGATCACCAACATTGACATCCATATGCATCTGCAAGTTTCAAGTACATATTTTAGATTGAAAGAGAATTGAAGTAAAGTAAATTGTTTTTATCAGTAACTCTACCTGTATGTGATCAAATCCAGGTCCTAGACCATTTTCCTCATCTACTTCTTTCCACCTTCTAGGAACCGGAATCACATCACGAGTCACAATGCCAATTTGACTAGTCAGCTTTGCTGACTGCTCACCATTTTTAGGTCTTCCAATGGATGTATCCACAGTTATCTTCATCTTTGTCTTGGATGCCTCAAACGCCTTCATAATGCCCTTTCCCATTGTCTGACCCCGACCTCTTTTCTTGGAGCGAGGAACTATATGGATCATAACAATGCACAGAAAAAATAGAGATTTTCATGTTGGCCTAACAATATTATTCATATTCTACGGTCATGATAGGTACCTCCTTCGAGGTGGGTTTCTGGTGATGTAATATGAGGACTGCAATTTGCTGCACTTTCATGACTATGAATTGATAGAGTATCCTCTCGCTCCGGACTTAATTGTGTTGTAGTTGTTTCACATCTTTTAGATGAAATATTTTGTACAAGGGTCTCATTTCTTGTACAAGAACTTTCACCATTAGATGTCATATTTCTTTTTTCCAACAATCCTTTAATTCCACTCACAGTCACATACTTTGGTGTAGCTTTCTTTGATGCATTGTGTCTAGGATCTGGTTGAGATGTGCTTAGTTTTCTTTTCACTTGATGCTTTTCCTTAACTCCAGGAGCCATCCCTTAACTGAAACGAAAACTCAAATGTGGTTGAATCAAGCAAGTTTGAAAATCAAGAATCTTAAATAATAGTATCAAAATGCACAATAGAAACAAGGCTTATTACATCTATACTACATTCTGCCACTACTTCAGAAAGTTCAGTAATTTTTGGATTCAAACATGCAGAGAACTATGATAATAATCTCATGTTCAAACCCTTCGGATTAGTAATAGCCATGGTTGGTTTGTACTCACAATTCTGGGGTTCTAGATTATGGAGATGAAAATACTATACGCAATTAAATACAATAATTTTATAACTTAGCATTTAGCACAGTTTAGGAATAAATATGAAACAAACTAAATATATATATACATATATATATGAAACAAATTAAAAGCATCAAAAGGTCCATTAATCGGAAACGAAAAACACAAATTTTCAAGATTGACTATTTGACATTGAATTGAATGATTTGAGCACACCAAATTATACACGCATATAGTTTTTATATGATTTCAACTATTACCTAACAGAAATCACCAGATTTAAGAGACTCTTCGCATAGAAAACGGAACAAATATTGATATACACACCTCTTCGGAATAATAAAAAAGATCGCAAAGAGATACGCCATACCAGAATGTTAAAGCAGAGGTGAAAGGCGGCTTTGATACTCGGTTGCTAAATACTATCGTACTTCGTAATTTAGAGTTGGGTGGATATATAGGTCGCCCTAATTAGTATGAAAACTAAGTTTCAAAATAAGTTTTCCGCCTAAAATTTTAATTTAGCGCCGGCTAAAAAAATCACCGTCAAAACGTGAAAAAACGTAAGGTATGAGCCGTATCAGTTTATGAAATACTAATTTTATTTGAGGAAAAGGCCTTATTTTCAAATCTTAAAATCTTACTACGTATTAAATACTACTCCGTACGTATTATCTAAGGAATACTCCGTAATAAATTTCAACAACTCACACATCAATATTGAAATTTTAAAATTATGTGAAATCTTCTATTATATTAAATCACTTATCTGTCGTAAGTGATGTTCAGTAATATCTCCACCATCCCCAACTCGGTCCACAATCGCCATATGAGAAACCCAAATAGTAAAACAGGGGACTTGAAATTCAGAAGTATTGAGAAATGAGATCTATAAATAATTGACTATTGACCCTAAGAGCATACAATTATAATCTGGAATTGTTTGATGCTCAAGAGATTTAAATTAAAACCTAAAACTATTGAATACACCCAGGACGCAAGGAGAATGAATGTGAGCTCTGCATAATCTAGATACTACGGAGGAAAGAAGAAATGTGTGATGCTCAATTAACACCCACGTGTCTTTGGTATATTAAAATCATGGAGTCCACTTTATTTGACAATATAAACAAATATGATGTCATAACATAAATTATACCTGGTATTCACTATAAAAAACATAAATTATACTCCCTCCCTCCCAATTTGATTTGCAAAATTTTCTATTTTGATTGTCTCAAAATGATTTTTTGCTTACTATTTTAGGTATGTAAATAAGAATGAAGTGACAAATTTACTCTTACTTTTAGGCATCTACTTTTAGGAAGATGGGCAAAACTGTAAAAAACAAGCATTATTTATTGTTATTTCTTTATCCTTGTGCCAGTCAAAGTTTGCAATTCAATTCGAAACAGAGGGACTACTCCGTAATAGAATGGTCGAATGGAGTCATTGTAGAGGTCAAGTTTCGCTAAAGATGTTTTTTACTCTGTAATCTGTCCCAAACCAGATCAGACTTAGATAGTTATAAAAAAAAATCAGACCAACCCAGCAAATTACAGTCCAAATAAAAACATTCTAAAATCAAAATTACAAATTATAATTATTTGTTATAATAAGATTTTAAATTATTGCTATTTTAAAATCGATTTTAGTAATACTTGTGTGATTTTAATTCACTCTTACTATAACCACTCTATTATGTCCCAATCTTATGGGGGACAGAAGTAGTAATATTTATCTGATTTTTTTGTTAACTTCAAATTGATAAAAGAAATTGGTTTACACTATCTATTTTTATCAATTAATTTAAATTGAAAAATGAAAATATCGGAAAAAAGTCAGTGAGTGTTGGTCACTTGAAAGTTGAAACTGTAGACTAACTAACAGTTAGATGGATTCCATCGATAAATAGATAAGAAAGATATCGGATAATGATATAGGAAATATCGAGAACAAAGAAATCTTTCTTTACTATTATATCGAGAAGTATATAAAGTGTTTGTTGCTAAATGGAATTGATGGAGTATATGGCCCAGGGAATCCTACTTCTCCTACTCAGGCCCGTCGAGCCCAATGAGCACACGAAGCCCGAACACAGTGGCCCAAGTCTTGAGAAGCCCACGGTGCACATATGGGTGCCTTCAGCCCTGTGGCCGAGGGCTCCAGATTCTGCAAAACGGCATAATTTGATCATACAAAGCTAATGGGAGAAAACGGCGGAAATCAGGGACCTTCGGCTCATAGACGCCCTCGACATAAGGGTAGCCTTCGGCTACACATAGCCTTCGGCCATGGAGGAGCCTTCGGCTACAGCGCAATCATCGAAGATTCCCTTTGGGGGTCCGACAACCACCGCATTTAATGCGGCGTCACATCCACCCATCGCATTTAAGGCGATGCACATGCGAATGCTGGTGTCTCTACGATTGAGGTGACCCCTCGACCGTTAGATTGTTGACACGTGTACTCTCATCACATTTATGACTGCTATAAATAGCAGCATTTATTCCTCTTGTAAAGGATTCAAACATCTCGAGTTCATTTGATACAAGTGACTTTCTCTCTCTTACTTGTTTGTTCTGACTTCTCTCTAGGTTATTCATCGAATAACTCCTCGGATAAACTACCCCGAGTTAACTATCCATCAGGAATGTTCGACCTTAAGACCTGTACACTAACGCGCATATTTATAGGCGCAGTGCAGGTTCTTAAATAGGTAACCTAGGGGTTTGGGCCTAAGGCCTTTTTGGGCCTTATTCCCTTACTACATATTTATTACATCATAATAGATACTATGAAATCTAAATCCATTCTATTTATTTAACAAGACATAAAGACAAGCTTGATTCACAATAAATATTCCTAATTGTGAGTGTACACACCTCAACCACATAATTTGTACCTGTTATTTATTTTACTCCCTGTCTCCCATTCAAACTAGACATCGTCAAATTAGAAATTATACTAATATAAATGAGGGTTTTCCCTTTTATAGACACATAGACAAACCCTTAAATAGATTTAGCAGTAAATCAATGTCCGCCATCAAAAATATTAAATATTGACATCTTGAATAAATAAACAAACCCTCATTTGTGTTTATGAAAAAATTAAATAATCCAACAACGGCGTAAGTACAACCAATAAAAATATTGGATAAGCTTGAAACAACTTTGCTGCTACAAGTCCAGAGCGTCCTAGAAATTTGTAACGTGCCAGAGAGCAAGTTCAATAAAAATATTGGTTAAGCTTGAAAGTTGAAACAACTCTGCTGCTGGAAGTCCTCAAAGAGCATGTGGAATAGGATGAAGGCAAGTACCTACACGTTGTCCAAGTATACACGATAGACCATGATTTCGAACAATGTCTGAAATTATTACAAGTAACATGTAACAGCATAGATTAATTAGCTCAATTTTTTCAAAGTTCCGAATTGATATGTCAAAATAAAAGCAACACCTGCAATTAGCTCCTCAAGCAAAATATACTGTCCAAAATAAACAATAACACTCTAGCAAGACCCATTAGGATTCAATGTGTAGAAACTCAAATAAATCCTGCTACTCAAAACATTCAGCATATGAATCACATTAGCATCATATAAATGCTCCACTTTACTCATGTCCTATACCACTTCATGATAAACTAAGCTTTGATCTATTTTCATCCTTCACATCAAAATAAAAGAAACTGATTGATCAATATCTGAATACATACGCACACATAAGAGCCTCATTACCGTTTTAACCAACATATAATATAAATAAAATCTTTACTGCTTAGATCATTCAGAACTAGGTTTATAATTATTATTATTATTATTGAAAGAAAAGGATATCGATGACAAAGAATATATATACCCCATATCATATGAATTGATCTAGAAAATATTGACAGAAAATAGACATACCATATCGCAATTGCTATGAAGAAATAACAAAAACATATCTAGTGAAGTTATGCTACATGCCTGCAAAAGAGCACAAAAAATGAATTATATTAGGCATAAAACAATGCATGCCAATTGCAAATATAACAATGGATACTGAAATAAAACATATAATACAGGATACAATATACTATGTATATAAACTCTTACAATGTGTATGCTGTCACAATAGTGATTGCTGTCATATTTCCCAATCATTGTCATCACTTTCAAAATCGGAATCAGTATTTTCAATGGAGTCTTCACTACACAAATAATCAATCAGTCTCATCTATTTCATCTTCATGGTCTTCCTCAACACTTGATGCATGAGGACCCTCAAACTGTTCTTGAATCAGTGTCTCCTCAATTTCATCAGGATCTATATCCTCTCTATGCAGGGATTGTATATCATCAAGAGCAACTTCAAGTGCTTCTTCAACTTCATCCACTTGATACACTTCATCTACCACTACGAAATCATCATCATTCTTTTCTTCACTTTGTTGCTCTGGCACGCCATAGATATGCCTATGCTGGAATGGTTGCATCACTCTCCAGTCGACTCCTAATTTAGGATCATTGATGTAAACAACTTCTCTATCAGTAACTAAAGTCCAGCACTATTGCTCAAACGTTTTTTATATTTTGCTAAAACTTCAAACTATGAGGAATTTACATTTATCGTCATCAAAGTATAACATGAATGACAAAATAATATTGTCACTTTTTATATAAACTATATATGACAACAATGATTATGTCATTATAATTAGATATTACATGACACAAGTCATCGTCATTAATTTTAATTTTTCTTAATATTTCACAAAAAAACTTCCCTTCAATTATATGATAAAACAGGAACATATCTAGCTCCATTGCCACTATCACTTATGAAAGTTCCTTTCTTCCTTAAGATTGGTGAAATACTCAATAGCAAATTATAGTCCTTTGTTCAGTGTGTAAGGAACTAAAAAACAAATATAGTCATATTGTATATATTATATATGTTTCGATTAAGGAATGTCATTCATGTCTTATTTTAGAACCTTATACATTTCAAACAATACATATTCATTGGACAAAATTCCAGCAAAAAAACAACTTTGAATTGATTTATTGATTGTCTAACAAAACGAAATTCTTGAAGAAGTTAAGTATGAATCTTCTTTTGAGTCATAGATAAAGTTTATAATCCTTTGTTTATGTAAACAATAGTTCCGTATACATGAGAGTATAAATCAGCTGGATTCAAAATATTTGGAAGACACAAGGTGAATTGGTTAGTTTTAAATTGTTCATTTGTACTCCGTAATATATATACAACAAGTAAATCAAGGATTTGTATTACTTCTAAAGTTCTACTACGAATCACCCTATTAATTCAAGCTACAGTTATTTGAAAAGTATTTTCGCAGGAATTAAGGCAACTATTGAATGGAAAGACAACATATATCATAAACACTCATATAACCCGTTCAAATTCCTCGGGAATTCAAATATAATGCACTCACCTTCGCCTTTGATTCTTTGAGGCTGCCGTGAGTCGCCGCCGATCGCCGACACTGGTGTATTCCCTGCCGTCACAATTGCTGTCTGCCGCAGATGGAGTCGCCGCCGGTCCCCGATCTCCGGCACTGGTGCAGTCTCTTGCCGTCACAATTGCTGTCTGCCGTAGATGGAGTCCTCGGTTGATGCCAAAAGAAGATTAGATTTGGCTACGACTCTAAGTGGATACTCTATTAGAAAAGGATTGATTTTAATATTTTATTTAAAATTGATACACTTTCAAAGTATCAAAATTTCAAACCAGCTGAAAAGTAAAAGGAAAGAAAATCACTTATCTTTCTTGGGTCTCTACCTATGTGGCTATGTATTCTTCCAACTTCCAAACAAAAGAAATTGAGACCCACTCTATCTTGGAAAATTCTTAAGGCCGGAAAATTCTTAAGGCACATCTTGGGTTAGAGTCTGGGGTACACCCCATTTATTTGCCCTTCACACAGACAACTAATGTCTGTGTACACCGACGAAAATTGCATATGTACAGAAACTTTTTTCTATACCGACAACTAATGTCTTTGCACACCGACACTGGTTTCCCAACCCCCTGAACTTGCAAAC